GCCCCTGGGGGCTGCGGGACCAGCCCGGCAGCACCCCAGGCTGAATCGGGGACCCCTGGGGCAGAGCAGCTGGGGTCCTGCCGGGTTGGTCCTGCAGCGCCATCCTTTGGCGCTGCGGGACCAATCCAGCAGCACTCCAGCTGCTCTGCCCCAGGCGTCCCCAAGAGCAGCTGGGGTGCTGCCAGGTTGGTCCCGCAGCCCCAAGGGGCAGCGCTACAGGACCAACCGGGCAGTACCCCAGCTGCTCTGTCCCAGGTGTCCTCAAGAGCAGCTGGAGTGCTGCTGGGTTGGTGCCGTAGTGCTGCCTCTTGGCGTTGCGGAACCAACCCGGCAGCACCCCAGCTGCTCTATTGCAGGCATCCCGGATTCAGCTGCTGCTGAAACTGACCTGCAGCGGCTGAATCAGGGACGCCTGGGGCAGAGTGGGACTATTGTAAGGGGGGGCTATGAGAGGTCTGGGGTGGCATCCCCTCCCACCCCACTCCAAACCCCTCATAGCCCCCCCTTCTGATAGTCCGGCATATCTGATAATCCGGCACCCCCTGGGTCCTAAAGGTGCCAGATTATCGGAAGTTTACTGTATATTAATGAGACTTGTAACTAGGCTACAATATGCATATATGTAATATTTTTCATTAAGGATTCTGACATTTATATCTTAATTAATATTTAAATATATAAAGTTATCATAGCTGCAGGAACTTCAGCATTTTATCTGTGTATTTAATACTGAAAACTTAACCTATGGGTTGGTATTTATCACCACTGAGAAAAAAATTAAATGGAAATAGTAGAAAAAAAGCTATAGCAGTTCGTTCAGATGTATGCTATTTTACATTCACACAAACATTTATTTGAACTGCATTTCTTGACATGTAAAATGCAATTCTTTCTCTTACAGGATGAGTGTGTTCTGGGGCTTCTACCTAAAGTAGTAAATGCCTTCTCTCCTTCTTTCTCTTATTACAGTTCCCCTTCCACATGAGAAAGCAGGTAACAGCAGAAGATCTTTTTGAAGACTTCCATGTGTCTTATGTCATCTTAAAATGACATATGGAAGATATTCAGTGTACATTTTATTTTTTATGTACATTTAAAATTTATATTTCTATTAAGCTTTCATTGTTCTACTGAAGTTCCTAAATTTTGCACAAGGGTTTGAAAATACATCTAAAAACATCAAAATAACTTTTGAGGCACCTAACAAACAAAATATTTACTCTGAATGAAGGAGAAGATAAAAGATAAATGCTAAAGGTAAGGATATAATGCAGTTATGAGCATAAAGACAGGAGACAATTTCAATATAATTGTACTTTTTTCCATAGTCTTCATACTTCACATCTCCTACAGAGATCCTCCAATGCAAAAATGTTTTCTTTTTCATGGTCCTATCTGCCCTAAGACTCAGATCTTCTTTATCCCAGTCTCCTGTTCTTCATGGATATAGTGGAGAAAATTGGACTATTTATTGGATTGTTATACAAAAACCTCCTTTTCTGTTTGTTCAATGCATTACAGGTATATTTGTCTCCTCTAGTACACAGCTTCAGATTTAGTTTAAATTTACGCTCAACTACAATGTTGATGAAACAGAAATCCTACGTCTACCTCGAGACTATTCATATAAGGATGAGGGCTCTTCACAAATATTAGTATTAGATAATAATCCTGTGTGAAGTAGGAAAGTATTTCCCTAAGCATCTCAGAAATGGGAAACAAAGCACAGAGATTTACTGACCGATTTTCAGAAGTACTGAGCACCACTGACTTAAATGAAATTAATGAGAACTACAGGTTCACAATCTCTTTGATAATTAGGTCTTAAGTGACTTGTGCATGGTCACGCAGGAAGTTTGTAGCAGAAAGAGAATAAGTTTTTCAAAGGTGAATAAATTGGCCTGTTAAAAAAAGAAAAAGCCTCCACTTATCATCTACAGACAAAGTAGAGAATTGTAAATTTACATTTGTTCAAACATAGCTGTTTTTCATTTAGTGCGATCAACCACACAATGGAGAGTACAAACACTTTTTCCCCACCAATGCACTAATAAAAAACAATCCAACTTAACTAATTTAAAGCTCTTTTTTTAAAAATCACAACTTATATAAAATGTCAGGTTGTAACTCATGTATACTTGCAAATTGCTACAAAATAAAATTAGTAACAGAAATAACAGTCATGTTAGTACAGCACACAATGTACTGCTGGAGCAAACATTCCATTTCACCTAAATATTACCATCTTTAATATTTTTGCTGACATCTAGATTTGAAACTCATGAGTCAATTTTAATTCTTATTTATAGACTTCAAAAACAAGCAAAGTCCAGGCAAGTCTGTGTTTGATGTGTCTTAAATATTCTCTTGTACTGGGTTCTACAGAAGATCCCCACCTTTCGAAAAAACTAACTATCCTTCAGGCATGTCTTTGATGTTATCATGGAAGATCTAATTTTACCCAACACTGCGGGACAGACTACCAAAAGACTAGGCATGAAAAAGTTCACCTACTGGCAAAATTACCTGGCCCTGCCCAATACACATTTTACACAAGAGAACATGCACTGAATGTCCTACATAACTACAGAAAGGGGTATTCAACATTACCCAGAAGTATTAGGATTTTTGTTTTCAAATTTATGTTCTGGCAATACATAGCATTTCTGATCCCACTGTGATGCTCCAACATATAATCTGCTGACAATATCATATCCACTATTGAAACCCAGCTGAAGATTGACTCAAACCAACAGGAGTAAAAATAATATTTTAAGAAATGAACAATGTTATAAAAAAATAACCAGAACACAATTGGTTGTTAAATCATTCTCTTTTAACGAATGTCAAATTAATTTCCTTTTAGAGAACAACAAATAACAGATGTCTTTGACCAAACATCCTCACAAGGCTCAATCTTGCAAGTTGCTGAGTGGGATCCAATGTTCCACTAATTTCAGTGGGTATTATGTTGTAAAAATTGGGCCATTAGATATTGGAAAGCTAAGGAGTGATCCTGAAACCAGGTATCCTCAGACAGATCCCTGTACCCATTTTTAAATCAGTGAGATACTACATAGGTGGAATCATCAGCCTATAAGGATCTAAATATATGACAGTGGCCTACATTAATTCCCAATATGTCATCTGCTTCTCTTCCAAAATGATTTGCATAGTCTTTACTGTACAACAATGCATTTTGGAAGTTCAAGTCAAATGCTGTTCTAAATCAATTCAGAAGAACTAATCATGTGCATTAAAGATTATTCATGTGATGGAAGGTTTGAGACACCAGGGTTTGGACCAAGTATTTTTAGAAAAAAACCCACATACATGGGAATTGTTATTATCGTTTAAGGAAATTTTATATGCTGTGATAATTCCGCTCAGTTTTGATGTTTTTTAATTCTCCCCAATATTCAAGCATGCAGATATATTTAAAACAAGAAACATTACCACTTGACATTTTCTCAAATCAAAGCTACGAGTGTTGAGGAAAATCAAAAACAAGGAGGAAAAAAAGCATTGGGCATGGTAACTTATTTTTCTTTAAAAACAATGACTTTCAACTATGAAACATTAACAACGGAATAGCATGAAGTACATCTAAAGCAACTGTAACTGTCGGTTTAGGATGATTAATTTTACTTAATAGGTCATTCATGCAGTTTGACTACCTAGGTTCCAACCCTGAAAATGATTCAGATTTTAAAGCCAAAATATACCATTGTGATCATCCAATCTGTTCTTCTGCATAACACAAGGTATTTTAGAGAAGTTTTGTACAGGCTCATCTTCAGGATTAGAGCCTTAGAGATTAAACTTTTTTACTTATGCTAAAAATACCTTCCTAATCTTCTGATAAACAAAGTTTCTTTGTACAAAAAGTTACCATTTTACGTACACAGAAACATAGCACAGGAAGAGTCTTCTGAGGCATCAAGTCCAAGTCCCCTGCTACCACAGGCAATCACTTTATATAATCCTGTTCATAAATAAAACAAACTCCATTAACATACACCAGCTGTAACAATTTACCTTGTACTTCTTTATCATGACATTCTCTCAGTTTGGACCACAGATCCTTGAAGAAGTCACCAGTAGATTCAGCAGAGTTAGGGCTCCCACAACTTCCTCCAGAAGCATTCATCTTGTCTTTTCCAATGCAACTTTTTCACTTATATATGGTACTTGTTCACTCTATCCTTTCTTGTTTTAAATTACATTGCTATTAAGTTTGTTTCTGAAGACAGCTGCATGCCTGTAATGACAGATTGACATTTATATGTATCAGGGTATAAGATGTAGCCATAGGCAACATGTGGGGACACATGCTTCCAACACTATGGGTGGGAGGGGCAAGGGGTCCACCAGCAGCCAGCAGAGCGTGGGGGTGATTCCCGCAGCACAAGTTCAGCCCTCCTGCACTTACCAGCACTAATGGCAAGTGGAGCAAAGGTCCCAACTCATTCCCCCACAGGAAGTGGAGTGACGTGGCCAGGGAAGCAAAGTGGGGACTGTTGCTCCCTTTGTCCTGCCACTGCATGTGAGTGCAGGAGATGGGGAAGGGGGCAGATCCCTACTTCTGGTGCTGTCACTGTTATTCCCATGGGCCACAATGCTTGGGGGAGGGGAAGAGGTGGAGTAGAAAAGAGATCAGGAGAGGGAAGAACAGGGAAGAGACAGAGCCTGGGGTGAAGAGGGTTGTCTCGGCCATTTACCAAGCTGGGGGCAGGGTCACATGACCTGTAGTCCCCTTGAACTCCTTCACTAGTCACTTTGCAGCCATGAACGAAATACAAAGCCTACTGCCTATCATTGTCAAAGTGTGCTAATTTAATGACCATCGTTCACCTTAAAAGCCTGATAAGTTCTAAATATCTTGCCAAATGCTAAAAATTATTAAATAATAAGAGTTAGATTATTTTTTTAAAAAAGACAGCTAACAAATTCAACTTACAGTAAGGATAATCTAATTCTTGATTATGCAAAACTATCTTATGCTTCCCATATTTTACAATTTGAAAATACAATACAATTTTGTATAAAGGGGCTGTCTAAAAAAATGCCATAAGTTATATATGTGTATATCTTAATGCATATAATTCTAGGGATAAGCCCAGAATGCTCATTCCTAAAGTAGGAACTGGGAAGTCACATAAAGACCAACAGTCTTATTTCTAATAGTTATCACTACATTCTACCACCAGGAATAAGATTTGTGTCCTCACAGGAGGTTGGTCCCAGAATTTACAAATACCCCAAAATCCATGAGGATCTTGAGATCCATCAAAGTCACAAAGAGTTCTGTTTCTCTGCACTGAATCAAACTTCTCTCAGATTCCAGCAATATAATTCAGATGGAGTCAGACTGAAAGGTAAGTCCAACCTACCGCTGCTTCTGGTGCTTTATGAGAGATTTCACAGTGCAGAGGATTTCCTTAGGTAATCAAGATAGGAAACAAGGTGCTGGGGTTAGAACTGCTCTAGAACTCAGAACTGGATTAATTCTTGGTGCTGACACAGATGTGTGATATTGGAATAGCCATGCAATCTCTCAATTGTGGAACTGGGGGATAATTATTTTTCCTCTCTCACATCCTTGGCATGTCTCTTTACATTGTAAACATTTGGGGGTCAGCAACTGTTTCTTATATGCTTGCACAATACCTAGCCACAATAGGTTCTGATCTTGGTTATTACTGTTCCATAATACAAATAATAAATAGGAAGAATAACCCCCCTCGTGCTTTTGAATTATTCTTAATGGTTTTGTCCAACCATGTTGGAGACTGACTTTTAAGATCTGCAATTGGAAGAGGCCAGGGATCCCCGAGATGAGGTAAAATCCAAAGCTTCTCCTCATAACAGCGAGACCTGGGAATAACCAAGCAGCAATGTACAAGTGCATGAGCTACCTAAACGTAAGTACTGAAGCTGAAACGTCTCACACAAACAAAAGGTTTCCTAAACTCTTCGCATTAAAAAGGATCATTCAACGATTTGAGAGCTAACCTAAGATTTGTCATCTGATGAAGTGGGCTGTACCCACGAAAGCTCATGATACCATCTACATCGGGGTGGCCAACCCATTAAATGAAGAGAGCCAAAACAGCGGCAAAAAAAATGTGAAGAGCCACACGAGAATTGTTGAGCAGGAAAAAAAAGGTACGCTGCCCCTTTAAAAGCTACGGATTAGGCTTTTTAGCCACAGCAGGCTCCTCCGGCCGATGCCATCTTGCCAAAGCCATTTTGCCACGCCAGACGGCTCTCCTGCACCTGGTGAGCACAGGGAGCCAGGGGCCGTTTGTAGGGCGCATGGGGTGGCTTTGCAAGCCGCACTTTCAGTGGTGAAGAGCAGCATGAAGTGAAAATCAGGGTTCCACGAGAAAATTCCATTACAAAAACATTTTATGATTTTTTTAAAAAAATTAATATTTAACCATTTATGAATTTTATTGAAAACAATTTTCATTTTTGTTTTCCACAATAAGTGTCCCTGTGTGATGCCAGCTTAGCTAGAGAGTGGGGATGATGATGTCACTACTCAGCACTGTGTGCGCAGTCAGTCAGTGGTGTAATCCGCTTGTTAAATAGAACCGTAAATCCCTGTCACTCTCAGGGAGCATGGATCATGTGGGTGACTGAATACGAATAAACTTGTGTCGTCGATAGTTATTATTATCCTTACTTATTTGTGGTGTGCTTTTTCAGCTCCATATATAAGACTATTAGGGGTTCTGCAAAATTCTTTCGAGTTTAAAAGAGTTCCGTGGCCAAATAAAATTGGGAAACACTGCTCTACCACATACTTTCTGTATTACTTTGGGCAAGCCACTTAGCCTCTCCGTCTCTCACTTCCCCATCACTAAAATGGGATATTAGTACTCTTTATTTTACAGCAGTATCTGAAGATAAATACATGTAAAAGAAACTGTGAGAATGCTCAAAATGTGCATCTTGCAGAGACATTGGACAGCCTCAACCTGTTTTGGCTCTTGGAGATTGAATTACGTGACCTATTTCACTGGCTATAAGTTTCAAGTTAGCTAAGGTTCTCATATTAAACAATTCGACAGAAAACAAATTACCTTTTAGAATTAGGGATTACTAGTCACCAACCGAAGTCATGATAGCAGTCTCCATGCATCTTCACAGCTGAAATACTTTGCTTTGAGCCATCACACACGCTTCTTTGTGGAACCCATTGCCTAATAACATTAGGAATCTCTTTTACATATATGTTTTCACTAGCTTTT